AATCACCTGTATGGCTGTAAGTCACTCAGGGGCATATCTTCACTTACACTATCTAACTCGTAGACTCCCGGTTTCTGAGAAGTCAGAGTCCTAACACTGATGTTTAAGTGATTAGGGGCAAGTGATAAAACTCTTTTGCCCATTTACTAGTTAAATAATCTGAAGTTACATAAGACATTTCTAAAATATTGTATTTAACATAAATATGCAAAGTGTCAACCCAGAGTAGAATGGAAATGACTGACTCCTACATGGGAAGTTAGCATTTGATGAAAATTCAGACATGATAGACCCATTAACTAGAGTGGTATTGATAGGCAGCAACACAGAAAGATGCTGGTATGAACCAATGTAACTTACAATTATATTGTTTGGCTGGTAAGCAGTTGTTTACAGATGCTCAATATAAAATTCATTGTATTGTCCTAAATGTTTTTTCCTTTACTAACATTCTTCTGTACCTACCGAGTGAATAGAAATTTTCTTCCTTCCCTCTAAAGAAAATTGCCCTGGCCTTTTCTGACATGAATAACTGCTCAAACAGAATGCCCATAAATAGATAATTTGAAAAGTCTTCAATCTCCTGCCATCTCAGCTGTGTTCTCACATTCTAGTGTAAGCTTACTGCTGTTTTTAGGAGACAAACTTTTTTAACCACCTCTAATGGTTTGCTTAGCAAATTCCAGCAATCCTACGAGGACAGAAAGTATGATTATTATTTATATTACAGTAATACCCAGAAGTCCCAGCCAAGATTTGAGCCCTATTGTCCTGGGTGCTGTAGAGAAATATGACAAAAATAATACCTAGGCCTTTTCATCAGTAGCTCTCAAAATGCTTTACAAAGGAGGATAGTATCCCTACAGCACAGGGAGGGAAATGACTTATCCAATATCAATGTGAATTGAACCTCTTGGATTCTTGTATTGTGTGACAAGCCCTCCCTCATGGTGCTTACAGTCTAAAACCATGAAACAGACAAATGTTGAAATAAAGGAAGCATTTATATTTCCATCTTTTTAATGGGGGAGAATGAGGCACAGAGAAATTAAAAGATTTCTCAGTCACACAAGGATTGAACTCAGATCTCCCAAGTCCCTGTGTCCATGTTGGGAGAAGCAAATATTGCCTGTGCAACCTTAATTTGGCCCTCTGGCGCATATCCATTATAATACATGAAATACAGGCTATAGTTACCTGACCAAACACTGTTGTTCCACAGGACTCCTGCCTCACTCAGTGCACTGGATGGAACTGCTCTAGGGGTGAATCAGCACTGTGCAGTGAATGAGACTGCTGTTGACAGGACTCTTGTCTCATTTCTTGCAAAATTTGGAGGGTATGTGGTGAATGAGGCAGGGGATTGCTGGTAAAGAAAGGGTGAGTCTCAAGACTAAGGCACTGAAGAGCTGGATTCTGTCTATGGCTCTGCCACAGAGTTCCTGTGTGATGGCAGCAAAGTCAATCAAAGGACAGGAAAAATAATATACTATTGAACAACCACTTTGTGATAAGAGAGGTCTGAGCCCTCCCTTCTGGCTGGACCCCTCACCTCTGCACCCAGCAGGGCCACCAGCTACCACAGGCCCAAGGGCAAGGTGGGAGGGGGGAACAGCTCCACATCCTCAGAAGAAGCAGGGCCGAGGGCAGTTGGTCCTTAGCACTGCCGGGGCCACAATGCTGCTTCCTCCCAGCTGTGTGCTGGAGCTGGAGCCAGGGTGCAATGCAGCCCCAAAACAAGCTACCTGCCCCGGGAGCAGCCAGGCAGCCACCAGCTTCCCCAGGGCTGGAACTGCAGCCAGGGTGTATGAGTGGTATTGTGTGCTGAGGTTGCTTGTAATGGCGTGGACAGAGCCTAGCAGCCCTGGGCCTTCCTTCTGGTTTATATTTGGGGTTTCTAAAAACTCATCTTTCAAGGTTTCAGTCAGCCACCAGGAGAGGTCAGAGAGCAATTTCCCCCTCTCCCAAACATATCCTGAGTTTATTTCCTTCCTCTAAAGTATGTGGGATGGCCTTAGGTGGAGCTGGGACTCTGGACAGTGTGGCTACGTCTACACTGGCCCCTTTTCCGGAAGGGGCATGTAAATTTCAGCAGTCGTCGTAGGGAAATCCGCGGGGGATTTAAATATCCCCCGCGGCATTTAAATAAAAATGTCCGCCGCTTTTTTCCGGCTTTTAAAAAAGCCGGAAAAGAGCGTCTAGACTGGCCCCGATCCTCCGGAAAAAGTGCCCTTTTCCGGAGGCTCTTATTCTTACTTTGAAAGCCGGAAAAAAGCGGCGGACATTTTTATTTAAATGCCGCGGGGGATATTTAAATCCCCCGCGGATTTCCCTACGACGACTGCTGAAATTTACATGCCCCTTCCGGAAAAGGGGCCAGTGTAGACGTAGCCTGTGGGCCAGGCCCTTTGGTCTCACCAAGAATTCTCCCTTCCAGCTGCATGGCTGGCAGGTTCTTGCTTACATGCTCGGGGTCTATTTGATCATCATATGTGGAGTCAGGAAGCAATTTTCCTCCCTATCGGACTGGCCCTGTCTTTGGGGGCCAGTTTCATATTCCTTTGAAGCATGCATGTGTTGGTTACTTGCCAGCATTATCTGGGAGTAGCTCATTAAATCATTTCCCTTTGATTGCAAGGGACATAGCAATGGTATGCCTCAGTCCCTCTTATTATCTCCCCTGATACATAATGGTCTAGCCTCCTGGGGGCTGTAACAGTTTGGGCTAATTTTTAGTGACAGCCCTGTGGCACTTGGAGTGAAACTTCCTGAGGGCAGAGAATGGGGGAGGAAACTGGGAAGCCAAATTTGAGAAAAAAGATTGGGATGGGGGAGGTAAGAAGTAATAGTGAGTGGTAAGAAGTGCAAAGAGTGACGTATTGCAAAATAGGATGCATGGGAAAAGAGAAAATGAAACCTGATACCTATGCATGTATTAGATTGGCAAGTATTTTTTATTTATTTATTTTTTCTCTGCTTCTGTATTAAGCAGTATTTTGCCCACAATGAGGTAGAAAGTAATAGCTAGTTTCCCAGAGGTAATGAACTGATACAAATATTGCCATGAGGCTAACTGAGGAAATGGTAAGAAGTGTCAGCAAAGAGGTACATTATCGCTTTTTGGTAATACGGCCGAAATCCCCTGATGAGGTAACTGAATAAGTCTGATGTTCAGTCAGCATGAATTGAAGTGCTTTCAGAATGACAGTTAATACAGTCAATATTGAATATAGAAAATATCAAAGGTAGTACACGATAATTCAATTAGCATAGTAGGCACTGGTTTTGTTTTATATCATACACTAGAATTGAAAATATGAATGCTTTGTACATATGCAGCAGCCAAGGTTTAGTGGTGTGGATGGGGATTTAAGATACATTGACTCCAGCTACATAATTTACATAGCGAGGGTTGCATATTTTACTTCAGCCTTCCCATGTAGTGGGAAGAAGAGTGGGGATGGTTAGTTTTATTTTGTTTTGTATTTGCTGAGAGACCAGATTAATTATGGAATTGTAGGAGCTTTTTCTTAAAGCAGAAGGAGTGCATCTAATGATCTTATTTAAAGTACTTTTAAATTTCTTTTGAGTAGTTTTATTTTATCAGTATGCTGGAAATGGGATGAGTCCACTCTTTTAGCACACGTTGAATACTGTCCCAAATAATTAACGCTGGTATTTAGTGATTCACTCCCATTAGTTGTTCTCAAAGATTTCAGTGCACATTTGGACTCCATTTCATATGAGCCTAGCCATATTTCTTTCTGGCTATAATGCTCTCTTATTGAAAATTCAGAACTTATATAAGCATGTGCTCATCCATTGACGCCTATAGAGTTGTATCCATGAGTTTGAAACCTTTTATGTTTTATCCAGAAGGTCAATGAGAGCTCCCTCAGAGATAGCCAGAGCTTAACTCTCCCTATCGAGTCTGGTTTGAATATTTTGGAGACTCAGGACATGGGGGTTTTGAAATGCAGGTATTATAGCATGCTTGTATCACCACCAGTCCTCATAACCCTGGAGACTTAAAGAATCCAGATTTTAGGTCAAAATTAGGGCTCATGGAAGTCTACTGACTCCTGTAGAGTTGTACCTACTTACACCTCTGAATCAGCACCTGTGACTTTGCAAGCATCTGTTGACAGTGGAAGTTTTCAGAGGACATGCCTGAAGGTCAAGAAGCACATGTCATTTTTTTGTGATTCCTTCACGGACTTGTAGTTCACAGTTAAGCCAAACTTCCATTTAAGAAGATTATGGCCGCCTTCTCTGCAAATAGTAAGACCACAAGATGTTAATGCTTCTCAGATGGCTTTTAACCTTTTTTATCATGCAAGGCTGCCATGCAGGTATCCGAATGCATACAGTGGTCCAAGAATATGTACCAGGAAATAACTGGGTGAAATTAAGGAAAGCATAAAGAAGGCTTTTTCTTTAAAGAAAGAAAAATCTAAAGACAAATCTAATAATGATGTTTATTACAGTGTGAAATATTGCCCTAAGGAAAGCAGTGGTTACCCAAACGTCCTTTAAAACCAGACAAAGCCCAGTAGTATGTGCTGTTGTGAACAATTCTTTACTGACAGAGGGACAAATGAAATGATCTGTTCAGTTTCTTCCAGTTCTAATAATTGGCATAGTTATTTGATTTCATTTGCTTTTGATACTAAGGTCATAATGAGCAAGTGAACCATAGGACCAAATAAACAAAATGCAAAACTTCCTGGACAGTATAGATATCAGTCACAGTTAATATGGCTTATGTTCCTTTAGTATTTTAGAAATGTAATCTTCAGAGTCTGCTGCTGATACTGGGCCATTGTCAGGTGTTTAGTGGTTTTTTATGAATAACTTAAATACAAGCCCAGAACTCTTGATTATGTTACTTCTTCTGTATTGTCTGAGCCTCCCCAAAGCTAGCGTTATCTAGTATGCCTGAAACAGATTAATGTTCTTGTCCTCCTGATGGTCTGCATTCCCTTTGACTTGGATTACAGGTGGTGGATAGGAGAATGGCAGACGTGTTCAACCACCTGTGGTCCAACAGGAGAGAAAAAACGAACTGTCCTTTGCATCCAAACAGTGGGATCTGATGAGCAGGCACTGGCTGCTAAAGACTGCCAGCATCTGCTGAAACCAAAGACCCACCTTTCCTGCAACAGGGATGTTCTGTGCCCATCCGATTGGACAGTGAGCAACTGGACAGAGGTAAGCATGACAGTTGATAGAACTAATGCTTCTGTTCTGTCTCCACCTGACTTCAAACTTCAAGGTGGAAAGTCTTTTCAGAAGGAATCATGGGGAGATTCAAGAAAGAAGCACGCTATCAGTGCTCCATCCCTCCAGAAATAATCATAAACCTATGTACCCACCTGTATACCTAAATCAAAGCTCTGTTGTATAGTCAGGTTCAGTTACTAGTTCTGAGCTCAAATCTGTCAACAGTGGGGCAAATTCAAACTCAGAATCTGAACATCTTAATTTTGACCAAACATTTGGAATTTGAATTTCAAATTCAGCAGTAATATGATGGGGGGTTGGTTCTGCCAAGAGATACGAAGCTAGCTCCAGAGTCCTTCTACATATTTGTTTCAGGATCTTCTCTACAAGAAAGAAGTAATGGGTAAAAGCAAGGGTAATGGTGCCCCTTCTTCTTACACCAAGTTGCTATTCAGACACTAATGTCAGCCCTGTCCTGAGCAGTAGCAGAAATCTCTAGGGTCTTGCAGGCTGGCTTCTTAATGAAGACAAAATCAGTGATGCAGAGTCTGCGCATATTCTTTATGTAACTCTCCTTACTTATGGACACCAGTCCTGGAACACATCTGGTGTCAGAGTATACAGACAATCTCTTCTTCCTAGAATCTCAGTCCAATGTCAATGCCTATTTAACAGGTGCCTCTGTGCCTGATGGCAGACAGGAAGGATAGAGATAAGAACATAAGAACGGCCATGCTGGGTCAGACCAAAGGACCATCTACCCCAGTATCCTGTCTGCCAACAGTAGCCAATAACAGTTACCCCAGAGGGAGGGAACACAACGGGTAATCCTCACGTGATCCCTCTCCTGTCACCCAGATTTTTTAGAGATGTGATTTTATAATCTTCAGCAACACACAAATAAAATATTTTTAAAATACATTTTAAACTAAGGTTCCTGTAGATTAACACTACCACTTGAATGACCCTTTCACAGGTCCGATCATATACCAATAGGTCTGGCAGGCTTTTTCACTTTGAAGTTAGCTAGAGCCCCTCTTGAGGAAGCAGAGCTATCACAACAGAGATAGGAAGAGTTGAGTAGGTGCATATTAGGACCCAGTCATGCGCCTTAATTTTCAGGTGCCTTACGCAACTGTGTAGTCTGTGTATGGGTAAGAATAGTTCTGGCCATCATTCCCAGAGAACAACTATAGACCCAGTTCTTGAGGTAATCAGAGACATTGCTCTCTCAGATCCCTCTCTTCAAGGACTGCTGCCTCTCCACTAAATCTTGCATAGAAAAACCAAACACCAGTGCATGCCCTCCCAAACGAAATATTTACTCACATGCTGAGGAAATAGAACTCAAAGACTGAGTAAGTCTACACTGTGGTTAAAAACCTGTAGCCAGCCTGTGCTAGCTGACTCAGGCATGGGCTGCAGGGCTGTTTAGCTTCAGTATAGAATTTTGGGTTTGGGTTTGGGCAGCACCTTCCTTCCTAACTCCCAGGTCTCAGACCCTGGGAACCAGCTCAAGCCAAGGTAGCGGCTAGCTGCAGTTGTCTAATCACAATGTAGACATATACTATGAGTAAAAGAGCTAAATAGCAATGCCCACCATAACAACAATAACAATACCACTTACAAAAAGGACCCTGACCTAATACTTGATATAGACATGCCAAACTTTGAATCCAATCCAGTTCTTGACTTTGAGGCTCTTATTTCAACTTCAGCATTTACATTATGCTTTTCATATTTACTGTGCTTAACAATCATTAACTGGCTTACTAGAAAAAGTCTTCCGGGTGTCTGGCTCGCAGAACATGTGATATCGGAAACAGCTGCTTGTTTGTTCAAACCTTTCGGAGGCCAGACATCAGCTCTGCTATGGAGCAGATCTGGGAGATTTTGCAGCATTTTATATTGGCACATGAAGCCCTAAAGCCCTCATTCTATTTTCTAAGCTATATCTCCTATATTGCAATAACATGTGACCTTGTTGTGTTTCCCTTGACTATGATTGTTTGTCAGCACTCCAGACTCTCTGCATAGCCTTAATATGGTCAGCAAATAATGCACAGTTATTTTAGTGGTGGCCAGTGAACTACAGAATGAAGTAATCAAAATATAACTTTATCAAAATTATTTTAACATAGTAAAGTCACTGTTTAAAATAGTTTGAGTCATTGGGCCCCATGACAGCTGCCCCTTTTGCCTCCCCCATTGGCAAGCCTGATAGGAAGGGCAGGATGAGTTGTCTGGTTAGTCACTTCAGAAGCCAGGAATACAATGGCAATAGTTGTCATCCCCATTATTAACCAAAATTTTGTCCTAGCCATTTGAATGGCGGCACAGTGGCTAAGGTATCTGCCTCCACAGCGAAAAGTCAAGGGTTCAAATCTAATAGCAGCAAGGAGGTGAGGTCTAGCTCAGTGATTTGAGCATTGCCCTGCTAAACCCAGGGTTGTGAGATCAATCCATTTAGGGACCTGGGGCAAATCTGTCAGGGCTGGTACTTGGTCCTGCTGTGAGGGCAGGGGACTGGATTCAATGACCTCTCAGGTCCCTTCCAGTTCTATGAGATTGGTATTCCCACTTATAATTAGTTCAAAGGGAGAGAGCCTTATCTGAAGTAAACTAACATGGCTCAGGATCTGGTCCCAAACATAATCTTCAAAGAAAGGAACCATAGATTGAATGTGTTGTTGCAGCTGTGATATAACAGGCTGGCCTGGAACAGCTCCTACCATACTTGGCAGGTCAGATCTCTTCCCTGTAAATCCATCAGGACCACAGTCCTGCCAGCTGTTTAATTGTAATGAGTTAACTGTTTTAACAGCTATTTACATCCCCAATACAAATACAGGAAGTGTGGGTAATAAACAGGAAGAAGGGGAAGTATTAGTATAAAAGCTAAATTATGGCTTAATTGGTGAAGAGGAGTATAACTTATTTAGGAAGGACAGGCGGGAAAAAAGGGAGATGTTGCATTATACATCAAGAATGTATATGCAGATTCTGAGGTCTTGAACGAGGTGAGAGGCAGACTGATTGAAAGTCTCTGGGAAAAGACAAAAGGGAGCGAAATAGGGATGACATCATGATAGGGGGCCACTATAGACCACCAAATCTGGAAGAAAGGGTGAATGGGGCATTTCTGGATGAAACATTAGAAATATCCAAAACGCAAGGGCTGGAAAGAAGATATTGATCAACTGTTCTCCATGTTGTCCACTGAAGGTAGGACAAGATGCAATGGGCTAATTTGCTGCAAGCAACATTTAGGTTAGATATTAGTACAGACCTTCTAAATATAAGGTTAGTTAAGCTCTGCAATAGGTTACCTAGAGAGATTGTTGGGTCCCCATACCAGGAGGTTTTTAAGGACAGTTTAGACAAACACCTGTTAGGGTTGGTCTAGTCTTACTTAGTCCTGCCTTAGTGCATGGGGCTGGAACTGATGAATTTTCAATGTGCCTGCCCAGTCTACATTTCTGTGATTCTGTAACCTGGCTGCTGGTGTTTCTACCAGCATGTCACCTAAACCTGCTTTGAGCAGGGTTAGATGACCCTGTAGTTAAAGTGCCATCTGTTCATCTTCACTAGCACTATTGCTAGCAGCTAAAGAAATGTGTGAAAAATTCAGAAAAATCTCAACCACTGAGGACCAGATTGTGCTTGTGGGTGTGGAAGGAAAGTCGAAGGAGCATTCTTCTCCCTTAGCATAAGGCCAGGCACAACTGTGGACCCTGAACCCATTAGAACACAAGGACTGCTCCCCATTTAATCTGCTGGATGGAATGGGACAGAATATCCAAGGAATTGAAAGAGTAAAAAAGGAGGCCGGCCCATGGTCTTTCCACAAGTCTTTCTAGGCTAAAGAGTGTGTCTTCACAGTGAAAATAAATTACAGCTTACACAGGCTTCCTCACAACGTTTTAACAGAGTAGTAACAGAACTTCATTAAATTAGCATCAGTTCACCATGAATCCATGCTGCAGAAAACAGAGCAAGAGGGCTAGCTCAGCTCACTAATGGGGCAGTTACTGGGAAACTGAGAGGATGCAGTTTGACTCCATTTAATATTCAGCAGGTTTTAGGGAATCCTTTACTCTCCTTCTTCCCCTTTTGGTTTCCCTCATAGGGCAGAAGAGAGCAGAAGAATCTCAGAAACTAAGACTTAGTCTGCACGATGGGGGCAGATCAAGCTAAGTTACACAACTTCAGCTATGTAAATAGCATAGCTGAAGCTGACATACTACAATCTAGTAACCACGGTGTCTTTACTGTGCTGTGCAGACGGGAGAGTGTCTCCCATTGACTTCCCGTATGTTTCTCAGAGAGGTGGAGTACACAAATCAATGGGAGAGCGCTCTCCCATCAGTTTAGTTTGTCTTCACCAGAACTGTCAAATTAACACTTGCTGCATTGATTGCAGAAGTGCCAATCTACTGGCAAGTGTAGACATACCCTAAAAATAAGGTAGAATTTAGGCAGAACCTTTACAAAATATGCTGACTGATTGTGACTGAAGCAAGGAGTATACACAGGGGAATTCGAAAAACAGGTTAGCTTCTGGAGTTGTAGAAGGCTGAAGGGCAGTACATGAAAATGCACCTCTGGGAGACTGACAGCAATCAAAAGTGAACATGCCAAGCATGTTTTAGGTGGTATCCTTTTAAGTCTCTGACATTTCTTAACCTTCATGTGGGGAAAGAAATTGTGCAAACAGGACGTGAAAATGGAGTGCTCTAAGATGCTCTGTGCAATAGAATGGTCCTACTCTGAGATTCTGCCTTTATCATTTAATCTGAATCATTTCTATCCTTCTTAGATGACATTCACTATATACAGTAGGTAGGAAAGTATTACAAATCTCCCTCCCATGAAGAACTCCCTCCTTGCATGAATCAAAATGCTAATTTCTAGGGGAAAGCTTTGTTATTGATTTTGATAAGAAGATTGATTTTATAGATTGATACAAGGTTTGTAATGATTGTATGAATATGTGCAGGAGAATCAAGAAATAGGGACTGAAAATTGTCTATTTATTTTGCAGTGCACAGTTACATGTGGTGGTGGGGTACGGACTCGTAAAATCACTTGTGCCAAAAACAATGATGAACTGTGTGATATGTCCAAGAGACCAAACTCTAAAGCGCTATGTGGCCTCCAGCAGTGTCCTTCCACCAGACGACTATTGATACCCCACCTGAAACCCAACAGAGGAAAGATCATAATAAGGAAGACAGCAATTAATCCCAAAAGAGACCAAAGAGACCAGACCACAACAAAAATGCCTGAGTTCCAAAGCACAACTGATTTGGTTTCTATTGCCTCTACTTCTGTCCACTCTTCCAAGAAGGACAATCTGGAAATAGGAACATTACAGAATAATTCTACCAGAACAAATGATGATTATAATCCCTTTATGTTTAATGGAAGCAGGTCACACCACGAAAGTACTGTAAGTAATAGTTCAAGTACTGAAAATATAAGAAACATCCAGAATATCTCTAACACATATCCAGATTTTGCTTCAGAAGGGGACCTCATTCAGACAGAAGTTCATTACACTACTTCGTTAGCCAAAAGTCCAGCAGTCACTCCAGGCTATGATTATTTAACTGAAGAGTCTGACAATATTGATTGGCCAACAGAAGGCAGTGAAAAACCTACTGACATCCATTACAAAGTCAAAAGCAGCCCTGCAATCAAAACCAGGAGCAAACCACCAAACATCAGCTCTCATGTAATTAAGACTCCAAAAATCTCACCAACATTATATCATCATGAATCTTCTACACTGTCTGCAAGTAGCACTGCAGCAGAAAAACTGTCATCTTCAACCACAGTGAACCAAAGGGGTATCAGTGTGCAAATAGATACACCTATCACTGAAAAGGTCACCACAGAAGGACCAGCAATGTTTGATAATGTATCAAGAGGCCAGTTTGGAAATGGAGCAGAAATGGAACCCTCTGACAAGATAGATTATACCCAAAGCACAAAATCTCCAAGTTTTGAAGATGCTCCAAAGGACCACAGTACAGCTTCTGAGGGAAAATTATCCAATGCCACAGAATGGGACTATGCAAGAATGTCCAATAATTCTCATGGTGATGTGTACTGGATAGTGGGGAACTGGAGTGAGGTAAGTGATTTGTAATTTATATCTGGAGACTTAACTCATCAGTCTGATACTGTGGTCTCCCATGTTTCAGAAAGATGCATTCAAACTGCAACAGATAAAGAAGAGCTACAAGGATGATCAGAGGACTGAAGAACCTACCTTATGAGAAGCAATTTAAGGAGCTTGCCTTGTTTAGTATGGTCAAATGAATGGTGAAAGGGATGTATGATTCTTCTCTATAAATACATCAGAAGGAAATACACTAGGGAGGGAGAGGAGTTATTTAAGTTAAGGCCTAGCGCTGGCAGAAGGACAAATGGATATAAACTCATCATTAATATGTTTAGGTTTTAAATTAGTTGAAGATTTTGAATCATGAGATCAGTGAGGTTCTGGAACAGCTTTCCAAGGGGCGTAGTGTGAGCAAAAGTTGTTTCAGGAGAGAAGACTGACCAGCTACCTGTATAAGACACTCAGGGTATGTCTAGATTACATGCCTCTATTGACAGAGGCATGTAAAATAGGCAACCCGACATAGTCAATGAAGCGGGGATTTAAATATCCCCGGCTTCATTAAAATAAAAATGGCCACTGCACTGTGCCGGCTCAGCTGATCATCGGCACAGCACACAAGTCAAAACATGGATTGGTCAACAAGGGAAGCTTTTGTCGACCACTCCCTTATGCCTCATGAAACAAGGTTTACAGGAGCAGTCGACAAAGGCTTCCCTTGTCAACCGATTCTCATCTTGACTTGCGTGCTATGCCGACGATCAGCTGCTCTGGCACAGCGCAGCGGCCACTTTTATTTTAATGAAGCTAGGGATATTTAAATCCCTGCTTCACTGACTATGTCGGGTAGCCTATTTTACATGCCTCTGTCAGCAGAAGCATGTAATCTAGACATACTCTCAATTACTCTGCCTCTGAACATGGAACAGTAACGGGAGCCATAATTGTGTCATTAACCCATTTGTCTTATTATTAACCCTTATCTTCACAGCTAGAAAGGAGCCAGTGTTCTCTTTCCCCTGCACTAAGGCTTTGACCAAAACTAAGAATTTTATCTCTCAGTACTTGTAAAAGGGAGGGCGATGTTAATATCCTGTAATAGTCGTCTGAATGTTACAAAAAATAATGGCTCACTTTTTGAGTCTATCAGCAGACCTTTTGTGGTTTATGTGAAATTGTCTAGAATGACTGTTTGAAACCAGTGATGACTCCCAGTGAGTTTGGAAACTCTTTGATGTTGCTGTTTATTTGCTTCCCCATGTATTGAAGTCATTTGTTCCATTCAACAAATAGGTCTCAACATGGTCAACTCACAGAGTTCTAAGATGAGTTATTCAAGAAGTCAGGGCTGAGAAACAATCACCACATTCAAGCAAATGTAATAATAGAATATAAGCAACAAGATCCCACATAAATGCTGTGTGCTTTTATTTAGTCCCTTTTTCATCATTTTGCCAGAATGTTTTGCTTGTTTGCAAATGGGACCTGTCTCAGCAGTGGTATTTTTAATCAGTTGACAGCAACATTTTCAAATCATGACACCTGAAGTTAATCACCTACATTAAGATTTAGGCACCTGAACAAAGATTGATGAACCCTCATCTCTCACTGATTATTTTTAGCAAGCATCAGGTACAGTTTATGTAGCAACAATGGAAACCTCTTCATGTTGGCCTGCCATTGTGCTTCAGCCTTGATGCAGAGGGAACACTTTTAGAGGTGAGAAAGGAATTTGTCTTCTTGTCAACTCAGTCTTACAATTATCTGCAAAGTGCAAAATTAGGCTTTTTGGTAGTAGATGTGGACTCATGGGCCCTAGAAACTAGACTAAGATGACGAAATTCACTCCACATAGGACACCAAATACAAGATGATGGAGATTTTTGGCCGCTATTGGAATTTATCTCCTAATCAGCCTCCTCTTCCCGTTGGTTATTTAGTAGTGTTTTAAATATATTCTGATGTTTCAGCATTGCAGTCAATTCGAATAGTTAATTATCTCCTTTGTCACCAGCAATATTGGCAATAGACAGGAGAGACAGAGTGGAAAATAGATGTATTGACAACTTATCCTAGAAAAACAGAAGTTGGAGGACCAATGAAGGACTGAATAATTACTAAAGAAATGCAGGGCTGCTATTACAGATGCATCATGTTAAGTGGAAGAAGTTTTCCAGAAAAGAAGAGATCTTACTATAAATCAGAAGATTGTTCCTTTTCATTTTCATAGTTAGGCAGAAGAATGGCATGTACTGTTATCGAGGCAGCTTCTTTAACTTGAAATCTGTCTTTTTAATGTTGTGACCTTTTGCAAGGCAGGCCAATCTCTATGAAATCAGGGATTATGGAAAAAGTCATCCGCAAGAGGATATTTTTGTGGAGCAAAATATGAAAAAGGTGAAAAACCACTGCACTGTTTGCCATGACTGGAAATTTAATGGTGATTGTGGCAGGGCAGCTGGTACTTCAATCCATATCCATCTCTGAGCATTCCCATTTGCTAATTGTGCTCTGTACTGAATAAGACTGATGTTTCAAAACATATTCTACTCTTTTTTCATTCATTTCCTGCTCCTATAGTTATCAAATGATTTATTAACTGCGACTGATTTCTACCTTTCCTCTCTCCTCTGTAGTGTTCTACCACCTGTGGTGTAGGAGCTTTTTGGAGACATGTGGAATGTAACAGTAGGAATGAATCTGACTGTCAGCACATTAAAAAACCTGACCCTGCAAGAAGATGTCATCTCCGTCCATGTGCTAAGTGGAAAACTGGATCCTGGAGCAAGGTAAAGTCTCTCAGCACTACATACAGTGGGTTAGCAGTAAACTCACTAACTTTAGACACCAGGCAGTTTTATACTTAGATTTAAAATGGCTCACTAAAATAATAATTTTCTGAGTGAATGCACACATGATTCCTACTTGATCTTTCAGCATTCATCTGATAATTTCCTGCCTAGCTTATTTACACGTAATTTCATTTTGTTTCTGGGTAATCTTTGTTAAACATATGCTACAAATTCTGATCTCTCTTAATTGCAGAACAGGGGGAATCATGTTTGTTACATCTTGTACGTAGAAATATAGCAATGATCACTCCTTGTGTTTCATAAAGTATTTTACAGAGATCTATGGGGCAAAGCTTCCCCCTGCTGTGTGCATGCTTTCTCTCATTTTTTTGTTTGTTTGTTTGTGTTTGCAGGAACATTTCCCAACTAATATAATCTTGTTATTACCTTGCTAAAAATATCACTATTGTCATGAACTAATGGAGGTGATTAAAGTGGATATAGGACTAAGCTTTACAATACTTGTAACCTTGCTGCCTGAACTTCAGAGAAATCATTGCCTTATTTCAAAACTGAAGAAAAATGTAGCTGAGAGAATGATTATCCATTTTATTTTGTAGACTCATAGCCAGTTCCCGTTATACACATTGTCCTTTGTCAGATTACACATGAATTTTAAAGGCAATATCCAAATTTAAATGATTGGGATTTATCCTGTTTTGCAGCTTGAAGGTGTCTGAAGAAGGCTTGAAATGTTTTGGTGATAGTATAAAAATTCATTATTTTGTTTCCTAGTCAATCAAAACATGCCACCATAACTCTCATGCTATTCTCTAAACCTGAACAATGTGTTGATTCACAATATGCATTGATACCACTTAAAAGAAGAGAAAGCTATCCCAAATTCTTTCCCTCGGCAGAAAGCGACACTGCCAATGGAGCAGGGATGAGTCGCTGGACAGGATGGTCTCCAGAAAGGTTGCGTCCCTATTGTTAGTACAATATGAAAATTGTACCTTCTCAGTGAGAACCTCAACTAATGAGTGGCTGGTGTGCCACATTCACCCTGTGTAGAAAACCCATGGAAGACTACTACGCCACTTATGCCTGGGCTACATGACACAGTAAGGTCAATGTAAGGTCACGGCCAACTTATCCATTAGGCACAGTAGGCACAGTGCCTAGGGCCCACGATACTTTTAGGGGCCCACGAAAATGTTTTAATTTCTTTTAAAATCAGAAGAAAAAAAATGAACTTTTAGGGCCGAAGAAAATGTTTTAATTTTTTTCTCACATCAGAAAAAAATGAAACTTTTAGGGCCCACAAAAATCTATTAAATTTTGCCTAAAACAGAAAAAAAAAGTTGAAGTATTTAAAGTTATATCAAAAATAATTTTTAATATTTTTTTTATGGAGGAAGGGGCCCACGAAGGCAAAAGTGCCTAGGGACCACGAAAGTCGTAATGCGGCCCTGTGTAAGGTAGCTTATATTGATTTAATTGTGCTGGAGTCAGCACACACACTAGTTCCTTGTCCTGTCAATACAACTGCCCTTCTATAGTGGCACAATAACTCCTTCTCCATGAGGACTTATATCTATATTTAGACACTGTATTACTTACATCAGCTATTCACTCTCTTGTCAGTTTCACAGCTCCAGGGAAGCCATGAAATTGACAAGAAAGCTGTGCAGCTAGAGCCCATCTGCCCTGGCTCCCTACTCCCAGCTGGGCTGTTTGGAGGCTCCCCACTCAGGAAGGTGACAGAGCTTGGGCATCTGGCCATGGCTCCCAGGTGTGCTCTCAGCTACCCATATGGTCCCTCTTTCGTCCTTTGATGTGCTCCAGAGGAGGGAGGTGGGATCTCAGCCACCACAATAATTACTGTGGTTGCTGTAAATCAATCTAACATAGGTCGATTTAGGGCGGTAGTGTAGACATGGCCTCAGTCTTATTAGAGCCTTCAAGCCCTCTGCGCAGGGGTGAATGTTGCCCTCTCTTTTCTCCATAAATGTCACTGCTTCTGTGACAAGTAAAAGATGTTTATATTGCAGAAAGAAACTACAAATCAAGGCTAGTAAGAAAGTACTGTAAACAAAAGATGTTTTAGGGATTATGAGTCTAGTTATGTGGCCAATTTGAGGTAAATAATCTCTTTGTAATAAAATTTCCTGCCATATTAGCCACCTGTTATTTCCCTGGAACCTAGTGCTACAAACCAAATTATTCTCTCACATATAAAAATATGTTTTGGGGCAGAGGGTGCTATTTGTTTGCTATGATGTGGATTTTTAATCATGGCAGTTATTATGCTCATTACTCATTGTTGTCATTATTATTATTACAAACATTTATAAAGCACCAATGACAGTAATATTGCTGCATCCCCACTGCAGGTCAATGTGAAGAAGTCTGGATTAAATTAGTTGGTTTTTATGCTTCATTGTTTTGGAACATGATCCTACAAGTTTCTAGGGCTACGTCTACACTGGCAGCTTCTTGCACAAGAACTGTTTTGTGGAAGAGTTCTTGTGCAAAAAGTCTTCCACAAGAGTGTGTCTACACTGTCATGTGCCTTTGCACAAGAGATGTGCTTTTGCGCAAGAGCATCTAGGGCATGTAGAAAGAAGCAGGAAGTGCGGGGATCCCGTGCCCCTATTTGTGAGAGGCACATGGTAAATGGGGACAGCCAGGGGTTTATGAACTACAGATTGCCCACTACTGCTTCAGAGGAACATGTGAAATACCCATAAAACCCTTGCATGGTGTTGAGTATCAGAGAGGTAGCCATGTTCGTCTGAATCTGCAAAAGTGGCGAGGAGTCCTGTATGGGCAGAGGGGGAGCACGAACATTCATCTTCTGAAGTGGGTCTTTGACCATGAAAGCTTATGCTCCAACACTTTGGTTAGTCTATAAGGTGCCACAGGACTCCTTGCCCCATAAAACCCTTGTTTTTAATTACACAATGATGGAAATATCCTCTAAACCCTGAATGGTGATTGGCTTATTTCTTCCTTGACAAATCAAGCAGTTTAGATCTCCTGCATGTTTTATTGTAGGGGATTTTTAATGATGTATTATTACTCTCTTACTATGAGACTATTTGGAACCAGCTGTCAGGGCTTCCTAATTAACAAGGCATTTTTATCACTGATGGATGTTTCAAACATGCCAGTGATGGTAGGGAAATAATTTTGGCATATTTAGATCTGCTGCAATGTGAAACAATTTTTCATCCTAATGCTACTTGGCTCCTAAGAAGACAGGAAATTCCAGCCATGTTTCACAAGGCAAATATTTGCATTGATCCTCTGAATGTGGAAATGTTAGCCTGTCAGAGATTTGTGGTTTAAAGATGTGCTTCTTTCTGTTCTGTGTACAGTGCTCTACAAACTGTGGTGGTGGTTTCAAGACCCGAGATGTTCACTGCACTGATGTTCATGATAAGCGAGTTCTGCGGCCTTTTCACTGCCAATTATTAGAACATAAACCACAACTGAGCATTAGCTGTAATACAGAGCCCTGCTTGGAATGGCGTGTGGCGCCTTGGAATGAGGTATTGGCCTATAAAACAAGCAATTAGAGCTAGCCAATAACTGTCAATTACTAAAGTGACTATTATGGCTCATACTATTATGTGAACTTGCTCTCAAAGGAAGAGATTAAGCTATTACATAATCATAGGATCTGCAGCTTCTGCTTTTGGTCGGAGATCACTTATACTAACAGTAAACCACATCAGAGCCACTCATAGTCTGTATTCAATATACAGCTACATCCTGCAAGGACATGTTTACATTGTATAGTAAACCTTGGCTTAGATTCAGGTTTGAGCACAAGTCATCCACACACAAGGCTTTTTGACCCACATCAGAAACCTCAGGATGTAGGTCTGTAGACTCATCCCAGCCTATGGGTCTGAGCCTGTATCCCACTCTGGTTCTGGTCCAAACCCAGTACTTTAGCAGCCTGACTGTAGTGGATGTCCAGGTTGCCAGGCTCATGTTTGGAGAGTCTGCCAATGTTACCCTATAATTACCTAGACTTGTGTGACCTACTCTTCTTTATCCAAACTTCCCAGGAATGGGAAGCAACCTCCTAGGTCAAAGGCAGTTACTTGGCAATTAACCTTTCCTTTCCACAATGGACTGCTCAAGTGTAAACACGATTCACTCTATCTTGTATTGTCTATGTCCATCACTAAGAAAACCCATAGCCAGCATGCTGCTAGCTGGCCAGAGGAACACAGCTGGATTCTGGTACATCTATGGTTTCAGGAGAGCAGGACCTATGACTTGCACAAGAAATGAGCATGTGTATGGAAGGGTGTGTGTAGATTACATGGCTCCATTGATGGAGCCTTGTAAAGTAGTTTACTCGACATAGTCAATGGAGCAGGGATTTAAATAATCCTTGTTTCATTAAAATAAAAATGGCCTCCGCACTGTGCTGACCAGCAGTCTCTGGTATGCCTCATGAAACCACACCTCAGGGAGCACCCTTGATTCCCTGTTCTGGGAGGGAGTGGGCTCGGGGAAGCATAGTGGTGCGGGAAGTGGAGTGACCCAGCCCACCGCTGTGGTGAAATGGAGCAACCTACCTGGCAGATGGCAGCAGAGCGGAGCAGACTGGAGAAAGTTAATGAGTTGCTCAGCTTCCTGCAGTTCTTACTGCCATAGTAAGGGGGGGCCTAACTCCTGCTGCTACCCCACAGCCAGCCCCCTGGTAATCTCCTGGGTCATGTCATTTGTGGGAGAGAGGTTTGGGGAATGGGTGCAATAGAGGTGAGAAGGGGCAGAAAGAGGCAGGGTAGGGTGGAGCAAGGGTGGGTCTTTGGGGAAGGCATGGGGTAGGAGCAGGGTGGAGCAGGGGCAGGGTGGAGTCTAGAGTAAAGGCGGGGGTTGCCCTGGGCCCTGAAACCCCTTTAGGAATGGCCCTGACTACATACAAAGGGGACAACTCCATGGGTGCTCCAGAGTTGGAGCACCCACAGGGAAAAGCTAGTGGGTGCAGAGCACCCTCACAGCACCAACTTCCCTCCTCTGCCCCCTTTCTTCTATGCCTCTTGCATGCCAGAGTCTCACTGATTGACTCCTTCCCCTCTCTCCCAGAATCTCTGGGGCATTGCAGATCATCTGTCTGTGGCATTCAGGAAGCTTTGGGAGGGATGGGGAGGAGCAAGAATGGGGTACAGTTAGGTGAGAAAGTATGGTGGGGGTTTGGGGAAAGGGTGGGGTGAAGTGGAGGAGTGGCGGGGGTGATACAGGGGCACAGGGTGGGAAAATGGGTGGAATGACAGTGTAGAGGGAATCAGGTTTAGGAGAAGCAATGGAGTGATGACATAGCCTGGGACAGAGTGGGGGGGTTGAGTACCCCCCAGCAGAAGGGGAAGTCAGTGCCTATGGCTAAGTCTAGACTGACTTAGAACAACATTTCCTCAGATCCTATCCCTTTTTACCCCTTCTCTACTTACTTTACATCGATGACATCTTTATGATCTGGACCCATGGCCAGGAAACACCGGATGCATTCCACAGAGACTTTAACAATCTGTGGGACGGGATCTGAGGAAACGTTGTTCTAAGTCAGCCATAAAGATGTTAGCGTACTGTGGGGCCATGCGGGTACCCATGGCTGTGCCGCTGATTTGGAGGTATAAGTTGTCCCCAGATTGGAAATAATTGTGGGTGAGAACAAAGTTACATAGGTCTGCTACCAGATGGGCAGTAGTATCCTCTGGGATAGTGTTTCTAATTGCTTGTAATCCGTCTTCATGTGGGATGCTGGTGTACAGAGCTTCTACATCCATGGTAGCGAGGATGTTGTTATCAGGGAGGTTATTGATGTTTTGTAGTTTTCTCAGGAAGTCAGTAATATCTCAGAGATAGCTGGGAGTGTTGGTTGTGTAGGGTTTGAGCAGAGAATTTACGTAGCTGGAAAATCCAGTAGTGAGTGTGCTGATGCCTCCAGCTCCCATCCAGAGCACACCATATGATACATCATCTATAGCCAAGCCCTTTGATACAACTGCATCTGCTCTAATCCCACTGACAGAGACCAGAAACTTCAGGATCTCTACCAAGCATTTCTAAACCTCAGTTACCCACACAGAGAAATACAAAAACAAATTGAAAGAGCCAGACGAATACCTAGAAACCATCTACTTCAAGACAGACCAAAGAAAACCAACAATAGAACACCACTTGTCATCACCTATAGCCCCCAACTTAAACCTGTCCAACACATTATCAATAAACTACAACCTGTACTGGAAAAGGATACTACAGTCCAGGAGGCTCTTGGAGACAGACCCATAGTCTTTTAGGGTATGTCTACACTAGCTCGTTAGTTTGAGCTAAGTAGGCAAATGAGGGCAACCGGAGTTGCAAATGAAGCCCGGGATTTAAATATCCCGGGCTTCAATTGCATGTTTCCAGGCGCCGCCATTTTTAAATCCCCCTTAGTCCGAACTAACTGCCCATGAGGAGTAACAGTTAATTCGAACTAAGGAATTAGTTCGAATTAACGTTTAACTGCTGCATCTAGCCGCGGGCAGTTAGTTTGGACCAAGGGGGATTTTAAAATGGCGGCGCCCGGGAACATGCAAATGAAGCCCGGGAATTTCTCCGTGCAGTCTAGACGCTCTCTTTCGAAAGAGGCTCTTTTGAAAGATGCTTTCGAAAGAGCCTCTTTCGAAAGAAGCCTGCAGTCTAGACATAGCCCTATAGACAACACCCTAACCTCAAGATGATTCTTACCAACAACCACAGGACATACCACACTAATACCAACCCTGAAACTTTCCCTTGCAACAAACCTCGTTGCCAGCTTTATCCACATATTCACTCTGCTTATACCATTATTGGACCTAACCAATTGAGTTATAAGATCAAGAACACATATTCCTGCTCATCCAGAAATATAATTTATGCTATCAGAAGCCTTGGGATAAATGTATTGTATCTCTTCCAGTGCACTGCTTCGTGTGGAGGGGGCATTCAGCAAAGAACAGTAACATGCATCAGTACAGAAGATAATGAAGCCAAAAATCAATCTCTGTGTGAGCATGAGCCCAAGCCTCCAGAATCTCAGAAATGCAATATGCGAGAGTGCAGGAAAAGTGCAAGTAAGTTAATGCACAATGTGCTAGCTCTCTTGAAAATCAGACAGATCTCTCCCTCTGTTGAAAGGCTTTTTCCCCTGCACCATCAGAGGCACACAGCTCCTTTTTGCACAAAAGCCTCTTGTGCAAAAGTGGCTGCTAATTAATTATGTAAATGAAGTGCCACGATATTCCATGCCGCGCTACATTTGCATAAGCTTTTCCAGAAGAAGGTTACAGTGTAGCCATAGCCTCACTGCTCTCTGATAGATAAACAGCTCCAGGTCAGACTCTAGTCTAGGCAGTCCTACAATCACTCATCCAGTAGGACTTGGCTTGTGTGCCAGGAACCGAGGTGAATTAGATGTGTGTGATGGCACAGGATCCGCTCATCATGGAAGTAGCAGGTAGGACTATAGAACGTAAGAATGGCCATACTGGGTCAGACAAAAGGTCCATCTAGCTTTATTTTCCGAAAGATCCGCGTCTAGACTTGTGCTTTTTTCCGGCAAAGCTCCATGCCGAAAAAAGCGGCAGCCATTTTTATGCTAATGAAGCGGGGGAGATTTAAATCCCCGCTTCATTAACAATTGCGATACGTCTAATTTGCATCCCTTTTACGAAAAAGGGATGTAATCTAGACGTAGCCCTGGTCTTTACAACATTCTTTGGCAAGGAATCTCACAGGTTGACTATGTGTTGTGTGAAAAAAAACTCCCTTTTGTTTGAAACCTGCTTCCTATTAATGTCATCTGGTGACCCCTAGTTCTTATGGAAGCAAGTAAGGATGTAAGGCTCAGGCCTAGTTGAGATTTGAGCTCATAACTGTTGATTTACAAGACCAATGCACCAACCCCTGAACAATGGAGCTGGGCCTGCCTAAACTTTGGATGTTATCTTTCATAATAGTAACAGAGAGGACCATGCCAGCATTAACCAGTTCAGATATTGTGCCCTTCCCTGTTTCTTCTCCACATAGGCTACATCTTCACTACAAGGTTTTTGCCAAAAACCTGCAGAGTGTTCACGTCTCAAATGAGCTCTTGTGCAATTAAATGGGCAGTTAAATGGCAAAACAGAGGGCTTTTTCCACCATAAGTAAACCTCCTTTTCTGAGGCATAACTGCTTTTAGCGCTACAGCTATTGCACAAGAATGAAAGTGTGGATGCTCCAGAGGGGTTTCTTGTGCAAGAAACCCCTATGGGAAAAAGCACAGGTGCTCTGATGGCCATTCGCAGAAATGTGCATGAAAGCACATTGATTTTGCCATGTGCTTTGAGGTGTGGACATACTCTTCCACAAGAAGTTTTTGTGCAAAAACTCTTGTGCAAAAGGCTTCTTGCACAAGAAGCACGTAGTGTAGATGTAGCCATACAGTGCTCTTAGGGTATGTCTACACTACAGCATTAATTCGAACTAAGCTAATTCGAACTAGTGCATCTAGACCTAAAAACTAATTCGAATTAGCGTTTTGCTAATTTGAACTAGCATGTCCACATTGAGTGGACCCTGAACCGAAGTTAAGGCTGGCCGGAAGCAGTGCTGGCAGGGCATCAGATTAGGACTTAGAGCATGGAGCTGCTGTCTCAGGCTAGCCGAGGGCTGTGGTTAAAGGGACCCGACCCTCACCCCGGACAGACAGTTCTCAGGGGTTCCCCGCTCGCTTGTCTAACTCGATGAGGGACAGCAAAGCAGTCCTGGCTTGGAGAGCCCTGAATGCCCACACTCGGCACATCACAGCACTCGGCCATCAGCCCAGCTACACTTGCCGCAGGCTGCCATCTGGGGGGTGTCAATCGGGGGGCTGCAGGAGAGCCCGCAGAGCCACCCCAGTCCTCCCCATTGGGGGCTCGTACCCCATTCCTCCCTCACCTCCTTCCACTTACCCCTCCCTAGCCCCTGATGTACAAAATAAAGGACACATGTGTTCAAAAATAGAAACTTTCTTTATTGAACAAAACTCAGGGAGACTGGGAAAAGGAGGTGGGAGAGGAGAAGAGAGAGGGTGGGAGAGGGGAGGACAACTAAAATGATCAGGGGTTTGGAACAGGTCCCATATGAAGAGAGGCTAAAGA